CTTTAAATTTAAGTTTTGCCTAAACTATACACCAGGATTAGCCGTTTTTAAAGACAAAGACGTTTTCAGCTATACACCAAGATCGAAAGCTTGTTGTTCTGCCCGTACCAGTGAGCATGAACATGAAACGGCGCGCATATCGACTTCAAATATCATTCTGTATTGAAAAAAATTGAATAAAATCAAAACGCAGGTACAATAAATTTTATGACACACTGTAAGAAGTGCTTATATCAATTTATTATTGTAATAGACTTCGATAAGCGATTCTAACTGATGCGTTTCTTAATTTAAATGTACATTTTCGCTTTGGGTTAATATTTGCTTGGCTATCATGCGGTGCAGAGTCAATTTCGGTTGCTAAGTGCACGCATTTTAAATCAAGTTTCTCACTCTTTGATATTACTGAAGCAAAGCGACGTACCTATTATTCGCAGTTCAGTTTTCTTCTACACGTTTTATTGTTGGCTGCACCGAAACCGAAACATAAGATAAATGCACGACGCGTGAAAAATTTTAACCCGGTACTGGCCTATAAAACATCCTGATAACCAAATCAGCCATGACCACTCCCCCTCCTCAGATGATTCATTGACACATGTTTTCAAGTTATATGCATCGTTTTAGATCAACTGACAAAAGAATGACAGGAACGTTAATATGATCAGTTACCATCCTGCACCTCACAGTGCTAAACTAAATGATGGATGAGCCAAACTTTGACAGTCATACCTCCTCGGTTTGCTTGACAAATTTTAATAAAATCATACTCGTAGCTTCTTCAGTTTGGCAAAACAACGAAAGAAGTTGCGCTAAACTGCAGAAAAGTACACTTAGTTTAAGGTGCTAAGCAAGAAGAAACAAATGATCCACAAACATTAGGTATTTGCATACTAAAAGTACCGCGGTGGTAACTACGCTGAGTTAATGGCATGTTTTGTTCCTATCTTTATGTTTTGCTGTAAGTTTGCTTCGTTGTGATTCCTTTCATAAGTTTGCTCTTCATCCAGTTTCTTTTCCGATCGAATTTTTAAGCTGGTTGACATAAAGCGAAACGGCTCTTCATAATATTCTGTTCTGTCGCTGCTGAATCGTCACCGTCTTCACTGTTTATGCAGACTAAAATTTTTGTTTTTTCTAGTTTTTCTAATGTAATTGGAAAAGTTGTAATGGAGAAGCTAAACTTCTTCAGTCGAATGGAGAAGGCCCTGTTGCTTTTGTCTGGGTGAGTATGCAATTTTGATGTCGCATTTGTGCATGAACCGTTATATTCTTTGCGCATATTCCTTTGGTGAGAAATCACCTATAAAGAAGTGATATTAAGTTTTCTTATATCAAATGGGTTTATTTAGTCTTCGGTTAGGCATATGATGCTGCTCGTGAACGAAATGTTCTGGATAGCAACTGTCCATGAACTCCTTCAGCATCTTTTAAATTTCTTTCCATAGCGTAGCGGTATTTCAATATGTATTCGTGTTTTCTAAATAACGGTTCGTATCAGTTCAGCCCTTACCAATATCAGTGGTGAGACATGCAGTTTCTTTACCTTTCGGTGTGATAAATTTCACCTGTTAGTCTTGCAGCTTAATTAGAAAGGGAAACAAATTTTGTTGGCCGTTTATTGATAGAAAAGGATTTAAAATGCACTTATCAGAATACATTATGATTTGACTCAAAGCAGTTAGCTTCGAAATGTAGTAATTTGTCGGCACAAATGCTTTACTATCCCTTCTTCGGTTGGTTTTCTCTGATTTTTTGTTTATATGCACCTTTGATTTAAATTTTATGCTTCTAATTTATTTTACTTTGATTTTACACTACTATGCAGTTTTAACATAGCCATGACACCAATGCCAACTTTTAAGCTCGTCATTCAACAGTAGATGAAGGATTAAGTTTACAAAAATTAGCTTTCCACATTGGTTTGGAAGATTTCTGCAGTTTTTGCTCTTGAGTCATAGTGGTTATACACTCTCTGATTTCAAATCTATTTATCTCAGTTTATGGAGTTTCGCAAGTTACACGTCACAGCATGGATTTACACGCTGCAAGTTTCTTCAAATGTCCACATATTGCTCAAGAAAATTTTGAAATCCGTTCAAAATTGTGAATTTGTGAACTTTTTGATCTCCCTTTAAATGAACAAATAGTGTGTTTCTAAAATAAGCAGCTGCATGTGACGCATGGGGAACAGGAGTCACTCGAGTTTGCCAGCCTCCTTCTGCCAAGTGATGAAACTTTTCTATTTTTTCGCATTAGTGCGTAAAGTCAATGTCCGCATTTGCATTTGGTTCCATTTATATAGCATTGCTTGTCATTTGCATATGCAACAAGTTTTAAAATTTATTTCTTTGTTTATGTCGCCGATGACATAAAGCTATCGGATTAAGATTATTAATTTTTGCTGGCTATAAAAATATACATTAATATAAAGGTTTATATCACCGCATTGCAATATTAATTCAAATGAATGAGCGATGTTCTCTGTAATTACATATTTTGACCAATGGCTCTATATCATTCTAAAATTATGCGAGATTTCACTTCGATTTACTGTTATCCTTTTGTTTCATCGTTCAATTGTTTTGATTTGTTGAACGTCGGTTTACGATCGAGATTGAGTGATTATGAGGATCAGTCTGAGGCATGTATGCTCTATGTAATGGCAAATTAGATTTGACGTCCATCGAACACCTGTTTGTTGTAAGCGACAACCGATGATGGATGAGAGAGTCCGGTGAAGGGAGCCTATGTTTTCATATCGGTCAGTTGATTGTTCGGCGTTGGCGATAAATAGTTCTGTGATCGAAACTTATATTGAGAGAGTCGTCACGTTTGGTAACGCCCATAGAGTTATAGCACGTTTATTGGCAGCAAGGGATCGAATAAAGTTCAACTCATTTAACTAAGATTAGTCAAGAGTGCGAAACTTGAATTAGCTAAGCAGATGCGCAGTGGAGGAAACTGCTAAGCCCTGGGAAGGAAGATTGTGCTGCGACTTGTGGTAATTTTTAAACTCATTTTGGCATCACGATTGAATTCAATCGTCCTATTGTGAATCAAGTCATTTTACTCCCGTTTCCGTTCTTGTCCAGAAAATATCTTATTTTATACACGACTGCCAATTTAACATATATGTAGGATGAAGTTTCGGCTCGAGCTATCAGACGTTTTGTGATAAAAGTGATGAAATTCACTGATTCTTTCACATTTATACCTGATAATCAGCAGTCTGACGGTTGATGATCAGTGCAAAGGTAGGGGATCATGGTGCGATGGATTACACATGCAGAGAGACCCGGAATAAAGAAAATGCAAGTGGTAGTTACTAATTCATGTGTTGTTCAACTTTTTATCCTGCTTTGCTCCTTGTTGAATTTCTGATGAAATTTTTGGCTCGCCATTTCGCTTCATTTTGTCACATGCGTGCTTATTTCTTTTCGAGTTGCAGCTTCAGAATACAGGTTATGAGCTGGGTCCGTCAAAGCTTCAAAGTCCAATAACTGAATGAAGTTAGGGTCAAAGCATGATTGGAATTGGACTTGATAAAGACTAGGTCATGCTTAACATACATCTAGCGTCACAACAGGATTTGCTGAAATCTATGCACTAAAACTTGAAAAGATGTGAACATGCTTTTCTGAGAAGGTGTATGTTAAGAATAGCAAAAAAATGATAAGACGAATGATAGGTTAAAGTACTCACAGAAGTCTGCGATGTCTTGTACGAGTTAAGAAGTTGAAACGATATTGCATTGGATGAAAATCAATCATACCTGCACCAGAGAGATATTTGATTTTTTTGCCAAATACGGTAAGCGGCAGGAGGAAAGAATTCCAGATTGATAACTGAGTTGAGATGAAAAAGTTCTTTGGTGTAAAGTGGATGAGAGTAGCAGAAGACAGAATTCCTGACGAGGCCTTCATCCAGTGGTGGAGAGAAATGGACGGTGTCACAATTTTTCCGCTAAGCAGCGGCTATTATTTTCGATCGTTTCTTCAAGCGGACCGCAGTTATATACATGCCTTTACTTATATGCTCTTGCAGTAGGTTAAATTTGTGTCTGCTTGATGACGATGACGACAACGATAATCATGATGACGAAAATGATAATATATAAAAGGATAATATGCAATACAAAGCCTCCTGAAAATGATTCAAAGTTGTTCTGAAATGTCAGAATATTGCTTATCAAAATTTGTGTGCGAAGTAAACCCTTTGAAGATGTGGGGAGCCAAAAATAAAATGACCATGATGGCGATAGCGATGAGGACGATGATAAAAAATGTTTTTTTTCTTAAGAACGAAAAGAATTAGCTGAAGCTCTTCAGCTCAGACTGCGAAAATTTCTTGTCTGGCCTTAAGTTACTGCTTTATCTTCTTAAAGATTCTTAGATTTGAATTATGCCAAAATAAGACTGCCGCGATGCACAGCACATATTGATGAATATCAATATCAGTCAGCTTTTTTTGCTTCTTGTGGAGAGTTTGCTGCATCGATTAATCAGCTTTAGAGAGTAAGTGACTAAGTTCGCTCTGATTGTAACGCGATGTTTCTGAAGAGCCGAAACACAGTTCGATGCCAAATATTGATCCGAGAATACACTCTCAGTTATAATTCCTGAGTAGAAATATAAGTTTGAATTGGTAATCAGCTTGGTTAAAATCAAAAGGAGGAAAGGAAACGTCAGTTGCGAAACTCAGCGGAATATTAATGAGTAGCATATTATACTTGTGGTATAAAAACGTTGTGCGGGTTTCGCTTTCGTTGTCTCACTCTGCCGTTTCTGATGGTCAGGCATCGTAAATCTGGGTTACTTGCTATCTAAGCTATGTCGGTCTTTGATGACGATGACAAGCTATGACTTCACCATGCCTTCTCGGTCGTTCGCTGCTCCTTCGCTTGCTCCTTTTCTTGCTGTGCGGTTTGTACAGAATTAAATATTTTAAAATAAACAAATATGGTACAAACACATAGTGCTGAAACATCAGCTTACAAACTATAAGCAAGCAATTTTGCACAGACTATAGCTGCTTTGCCGAAAATAAATTATTATGGACGAGAAATGTGCCGTCCGGCGCAAAGGCCTGTGTCTCTTCTGCAAAATACTCATGTGCGTCGCAGATCGCCCCTTAAGATGCGTATGAATGTTCTTCTAAACGACCTATTGGCAAAGGCATAGGCGAAGGGATTGAACGAACTGTTCAAGTAACAGAGGTAATAGCTGGTCAGGAACAACGGGGACGGAACGCACTTAGGACAAAAGCCGTATATCGTGGCAACGATGTAATACGGCGACCAGAACAGAGCAAATGTGCCGACAATCACGGTGATCGTTCGGAATGCGCGACGAGCTCTCCTTTCGGCCTTGGTTATTTTTCTCCTTCTTTGTAGAAACGAGGTTGGGCTAAGTAGGAAGGTGCTCAGCCAGTTATTGTGTTTGTTGACGGTCGATTGCTCTTTTCCCTCACCGCTGCCCTTCGTGGTATGCTGAAGCTTTTCCATCAGTGGCTTCAGCGGATCCTCAGCAGGAGGCTGTTGGAGACCTGTGATTTCAGAAGGCTCGCCTTTATTAGAGTTTTTTGGTTCACGTTTCAATTTATGTCGGGATTTGAAGAAGAAGCCATGTAAAGACCGTTTGCTCACCGGTGGATTAATGCTAATTGCCCCATAAAGTCTGTAAGATGTCTTTTTTGCTTGTTTATTTTCTTTTTCTTCGTCCTCATCTTCCTCCTCAGAGGTGTATAAATTCTGAGCGATGTTCTTCTCGACTCTGCTTGCCTTCGATCGTGAGTTTTCGTTTATGCCATCATTCTCCATTGCATGTTTGCTCCTAATCTCAGAAACAGAAGTCACGTCACCCTGACTGCCCCCTGATGAGTCTAGTTTGAACGAGGAAGCATCAGAGGCCGAAGCCGCTGACCTTCTGCTCCTGCCGTTCTTCTTCTCTAAGCAACTCTGTTCCATTACTGGGTTTGGAACGTGAAGGGGGGACAGCTTCTCGCTGCAAGTTGATTCGAGATTTCCGTCCGCAAGGTCGGCCGCAGAATCACACTCATTAGAGGACTTGTTACCGTTCTCTTCAGACTGCATCGGCCCGTCGCCTACCCTAATCGTCGGAATGGGTTTATTAGACGATGGTTTGGCTTCATAAGGGCTAGCACACACGGACCCTTCTGTTAGGCCATTCTTACCCGTATTGTTCCGGTCTGTCACGGGCTGCTTGGACGACTCGACGGCATCGTCTTCAGTTTCTGCATGAAAGTACAGTCCAAGCGACACCTGCGCCATGTAGCGCTGGCCAAGCATCAGAGCCATTGTTCGTTGGTGCCTAGCAACGTTTCTTTTTTCCAGGTTTCTGGCCGCCAAGTGAATGCCTCGATACAACACCGAGATGGCTATCAGAATCGTCCAGTAGTAAACGATGTACATAGACATGTTGACGTATGGATCGTTAAGGAACGGAGCGTAGCACTTATCGGTTTGCTCGATCGTTTCTCCAGTAAAGTTCTCCCAGCCAAATATCATCATTATGAAGAGAACCGACGGAAATAGCCAACTGAGGACCACCATCACCTGTACTTTGCGTTCCGTTTGCCACTGACGGTACTTCGCCGGAAAGCACACCGAGCCGTATCGGTCGACGGTGATGAGCAAAACCGTCAAAATCGAAACAAGGCATAAAGTATAGTCGATACAGAGCCAGATCTGGCACATAATATTACCAAGAGGCCACCTTTCTCCCTTTACAACGTAGAGCGTCAGCATCGGGAAGCCTTCCATACCTATAATCAAGTCAGACACAGCCAGTGATACAATGAAATGGCTGCTAAGCTGCAGTCGTATGCTTCTTTCCAGGCGATAGGCGACCAGCACGAGAAGATTGCCAAAAATCGTTTCGATCGAGAACAGACATGACATCGACCAGAGGAAAATTACTACCGAAGCTGGATAGTACGACGAATGGCTGTCCAACACGGCGCTAAGGTTTACCAGAAGCGGAGGTTGGGCTGGCACACTGAGGTTGCTCGCCAAACGGTGCCAAGAGGGAAAACTGTTCAAAGTGATCGAACTTTTGACCGGATTCATAGAGTGAAATTTATTGGTGGTCAACACTTCCATACGGTGAATCAAGTTTCCATTGACGAAGTCTCCGTTACCTTTTAACATTTGATTTACTCATTCATCGACATCTTGCGTTCATAACTTTGTACGTCGTTCAAAACATCGTGACTGTTCGATGCATCTCTTTGCTATCTGTCAAACCTCCATCACTCCACCGCCAGAGTGAGCTATCGCTTTCCTTAAGCATAAGCTACCCGGTCTAAAATTATAAGAATTGAAGAACGCTGACAAACTTTACATAAACTTAGCGACACGTACGTAAGATTTCGAACGCGATGGAATAGTTATTTTAGAGTACATTTTGAACCAGAATCGGGCTAAATATCCATCAACCGTTATATCCAACTGTTGCTGCTTCTCAGCTTCAGCAGCCAGTTTTGGCTGGCGAAGGTGAAGTCATTTCCACATAAGCAGCCATTTGCGACTTTCAACAATCAGATTATCTACGAAGGTTAGTTATTCTACTTTCATAAGCGTCGTTCAAGTTACCTCATATACCTCAATGAAATGGATAATAGAGTAATGAAAATTTGGAGGTAACTTAAGAACTTTCTTTTGGCTGGAGCTGCCTAGTGTCAATGGTTTCATAAAGCACACGTCATCAGATGATGAATCAAAATCCGATATTTTGACCCGTTGTGCACTGAACTTCTTCAGGTAAGCATAGTGGTGAAGTTTCGATCATCTGAAAGAGGTAGTTGGTGCAGAACCGAAACATTGGTATCCATTAGTCTCCCTATTGCGTTGAATGTAACACAATCGTTTTGTATAGTATACCAACACCTGGACTAAATTCTCCATCACTGGAGCTGGCAACCATATGAAAGCATGTGACGTTCAAGAGAGAAGGATGATTGCTGGACCGACGTGCAGTGTAGTCACTTCGTAAATCTTTCTGACGAATGCAAAGATAAGTTTTGTAACTTAGCATAGCTTCACTATTTGTAACTTTTGTGCGTCTGGTGTAATTCATGCATTCAAGAGCAAATATAGAAGAGTGTGGATGGTGAAACTAAACTTATATGCTAATAATCAGTAAGGAAACGCAATAAAGATAATCGTTTATCCTGCATGTGGCTCGTCACAGGTATGATCAAAACTGAAAAATGGTTAAAAATTGATCCTTGCAAAACTGGATTAAAATGCTGAGAGTCGTACAGCGGGGATAAGAGGTTTATACCGGAAAACGAGTACTGCGTTTGGAAATATAGTAATTTATTGTTATAACAATTAATAGACAACTGATGATGCGCAGATGGATAAGTTCAACGGGAACTTCGATACGGTTCCCGACTCTCCTCTATTTTCATTAAGGCTTGGAGCCGGCAGCAGTGAAGTTGCTACCTCCGAGAGCCGAGAAGATGAGCGATGGTCGACACTGACCGACTGACGTATTAGCCATTTGTTTTGCATCAGTCAACAAGTGCATTGTTCAAAAACACTCTTTGTGATGCGAATCGCCTTTGCCAGTGCTAAGGCACGTACTTAAAGTGCTCAGGTTCGATTTAGAATGAAATTGGTGCAAGCAACATGAAGATTCATCAGTGTCTAAGAATAGCAAGAAATTAAATGCAGAACTGTAATGAATATGACAAAAATTTTCAGTATCAGAAACTCTATGAAGCTGAACCTTGTTGGTTGTTTCATCTTGTCAGTGGAAAGCTATGCATACGAAAATTAACCAGTAAGCAGAGCAGAATGCAAGTCCATCGATATTGCAGTGCTCCTTTACGCATCCTGAACGGACCGGAAATTCAATTCCCAAAAGCAACTTGATACTCAGCTCTTGCTTCTGCAACTCGTACAAAAGCGGAAATTACGACAATAGGGTCAAGCCTGAAGTTGAGGGGGCATCTTGATTGCAAAGAAAAATGGTATTACAAGGCTTGACATTTAACACTGAATCCAACTTGGCATAACTCACTTCTTTCAGATGATGTTGCATCGGAAAAGCTAGAGAATGACATGAAGAGGAAGAAAAGGTATGGTTTCATGAAGTGTCGATTGAAGCAATCACACAGTTGATCTGGCCTTAGTCCATGGAAGTGAAACACGTGAAGACTGCACGTGAGAATCTCAAATCGACAAACTTCGACGTTCGATTGGTCGAACAAAAGTTAATAAACAAAGTGAAAAAAAAACAAATATTTTAGAAAAGCTCTGCCGTTGTCAGACCCAAGCCCGAATGACAAAGGAGGAGGATTGAAAACCATGGAGAATTCTCCTCAAAACTTAGCCACATATCCCTGATGGTATTTCTATCACCTAACATCATATGGCTTCGGTCGTCGCCCTGATACCAAGATCCGTGCAGGCTGTTGGAGGACTGAGGAAGGCTGTGAAAAGTTGGCGATCAGCACCTGCTCATCGCCCTCTGCCAGCCGGGAGTGTGGCAGCACAACAACGGCTAAATAAGACCGACGGAACGACGACGAATATACCAGTCAGCAACGGAGTCGCTACCCATTCTGAACAGAGGAGGCAGACATCGCGATGCCATTACAGCACGTCAGAAACGGCTCCACAGAACGACACCACCAGTGGGAGCTTAAAGTCAGAAATTGTAACATGTCCTCACTCAGAGGGAAAGAACAAGAATTAGTTGATGAGGCCATAAAGTACCAACTCGATAACAAAGCGCCAAAGCTCTGAAATTCTGAACCTCTGCGGGAACGTTGATACCCTTCGGCTGACAAGCTTCCAATCAATGATTCTATTAGCCTGGTTTGGTTCTACCGGATTGTCTATATGGTCTGAGTGCGCATCGAGTTGCCGACACCTGAGTGGAATAGATTCTTCTCGCAGATGTTCAGGATTCCAGAGTCTTGGCGCTTCATTAACGAAAGTACAACTTTGTCGAGTTGGTACCCTGCGGCCTCATCAACTGGTTCTTGCTGTTTCTCTCTGAGTGAGAATACGTTCCTGTTTCATAGAATAACCTCTATTTCTCGATATCGTTCTCGTGAAGCTTTATCTCACCTGTTATAATGGTATCGCGAAGTTTGCCTTCTCTGTTTGGAACAGGTGGTGTCCCCTTTTGTGATTGGTATCTTCTTGATCGTTTTGTTGATTTCTCTTAACTGGTACTATACTGTTACGCCCTCAGGTGCCAGGTGGCAGTGAGCAGCTTCTATTCGCCAACTTTTGGCAGCCTGCCTCAGTATCCCAGTAGTGTACGTGGTCCTTCTTATGCCGGGCCACGACAGAGCGGTTATGATGTTCGATGAAGACAGTACCATGAGGGGCCGGCGGCTATGTTATATGGAGATCTCGTTATGGTCTCCAATTCTCCTCCTTTCTCCTCCGGGCTTGGGATCAGCAAAGGCTGTGTTCATCGCTATATTCGTGATAATGACACCATGACGAATGACTTCTCTAAGACCGGATTTCGTGGCGCATCGCACTGTTCCCTGATTCTTTGTTAAGGGATTCTGTTGGGGAATTTAAGTACGTCATGATTTAATTGTATTTGAGCGCCTGCAATGCCAGATACCGGTCTGGAAATGAAATGAATTTTAGAGCAATTATGGATCAGTTCACATTCTCTCACGAGAAATCCATTTCTATGATCATTGTCTCTTCGCCATTACCCGCTACAACGAAACAGTTCATAATCACCAGCTCCTTCACCTGTATGGTTATTATGAACATCTTCATCAGTATCGTCCCTGTCATCGTGTCAATAATCATCTTCGTCGTCCTTGTTCTCATTATCTTCATTAACCATTCTCAGTTCTAAGATTACAGTGCATTATGCATTCTGCCATACTGTATTTTCCAGTTTTTCTCGACTTTTCTTCTGAGAAACGGATATTAAGGACAGACATCACTGACACAGGAATTTGATGAAATAACAGTACCTTATAACAAGACTTTTAAACTTAAAAAGCGCTTGTCTTCAAAAAAACACTGGTCCATTATGACAAAGCTTTGTACACATCACCGTATGAAATAACTTTAAAACCGATTTGTCCACATAGACTATTTTTTTAGAACAAGGGAAAGAACAGTCCAGCTGAAATAGCTTGAGTTTATTAACATAATGAAATTTTCAGTTGTCCATATCTTATCGCGTAAATCTAGAGCAGCGTCATGTCTAGAGAATCTTAATGGAAAAGGAGCTAATTACGACATCCGTGGCGACACACGTTCTTTTTTTGAGCAGTCAAGAAAGGTCATTAGTAGTTGTGGTATTCACCCCCTACTTTCTTGATGTTGGAAATTATAGCCTCATCAAACTCCTTTAGCGACCATCGGTGCTCTTTCTTTGCAGTGCATTACTTACAGGGGCTAAAGGGTGGCTCCGTGATAAGGTTCAAGACCAATGTTCCATTTAAAATGAAATGTTTCGAATTATTTGTAAGGTATACTCTGTACTGTGGAGACGGATATCGAGAACAATGTAACGACGGACCAGTGATGCGAAAATACTGAAAAAAAGTTATCTCGTGGTCAGGGCTAATTTTGGAGAAACATAGTATATTCGATTAAATTATTGCATGTTCTTCACTGCGTCTCGTGATTGTGATTGGCATTGATCGAGACGAATTCTAAACACGTTAAGAAACTCTTCTTTGTGCTGCTGTGAAAGTTTGATTTTGACAGAAAAATGCCTTGTTTTGCTTTACGGCAGGTGGGAAAGTTTTTCAGTTTTTGACATTAAAACAGAAGAGCTAACAGCTGCATAAGAGGAGGGAGGGGGTAAAATGCGTTTCAGAATGATGAAACGGTCCATAGGAAGGCCCACAGATCGACGATATCAATTCGTCCTGCGAAGTCGACCTTCAGCAGAACGGGTTGAAATTGCTGAAGGCTGTAGCGAGGATGCATAGATGGACAAATGGAGGAAAATCAGCCCTCCTCCTTTATTGACTCAATGGCAAGAAATTTTTCATCCAACCAAACAAATTCAGAGAAATGGAGCACTTCGCAAGGTTTTAGTCCCGGACCGATATCATAGACAA